TGGACAACTGGATAAAGGAGCGCCTCACGCCGCTGTCGACACAGCCAGCTAGCGTGAAGGACGAAATGGAGAAGCTGCAGCGGCAGGTAACACATGCCGCTGTCGGATCAGCCAGCTAGCGTGAAGGACGAACTGGAGAAGCTGCAGCGGCAGGTAACACACACACACACTACAGCTGTTCTCAGGACAGATGGGAAAAGATTTAATCACCACCACGTACATAGATACGTACGTTTGCTTCACTTTGAGCCCGTTAAAAGATAAAACCTGTGATTAAAAGGTAAATTAGAAATCACTGACATCAGGAATTTCAGAGGGTTATCTGTTTATTAAAGGGACAAATCAGTTATTAAACATGTATCTGCAGGTGTGACACATTCCAATACCAAGTCTTTAAATATATTGTTCTTATTACAATTATGGCTGCAACTAACCATTTGCATTGATTGATTTATTGGTCTGAAAATGGTTAAAAATAATTTCAAGGCTCACGGTGGTTTATTCAGTTTTGTTTTTATTCTATCAAACCAGCAAATGTATTATATATAACAACGTGTGGCATTAGTTGACAGCTGCTAATTAGTTTAGAAGATGTGAGGAAACGAGCTGCTGCTGTGTCTGCGTCTCATGTGCTGTTGTGCGTCTTTCAGCTGAAGTGCTGCGGTCTTTTCAATGGACCATCAGACTGGGATTCAGTCCCCGACTCCTGTCACTGCAACTCCACTGTACCGGAATGCCCATCCTCCGGGGTATACCAGACGGTGAGTGGCTGAGATCTCACTGAGTGCACAGGGGCGTAACTGTTAACTCTACATCAGTAGAGTCCTCTCCGGCAGCCGTGGGCTCTGCTGCTGTGAAAACACATCAGGGAAAAACATTTCATCACAGCCGCTGTTTGAATCAGACAAGTCATAACAATGTGATGTTGTCTCATCCTGCAGCCCTGTGGCCCCCAAATCGTCAACCTGCTGCAGAGCCAAATGAAGGTGGCGCTGGGAATCGCCTTCGCCATCGCTGTGCTGCTGGTGAGTACACACTTTTCTTGCAGAGAGAGAAAGGGTCAGACACTAGACAGAGCAGCCCCTTATGTTTCTTATATGATCGTTCCTCGATTGAGGAGGCAGCTGGAGGAGCCAAGAGCATCAGGTCTGTTGTGGAGTGACACACCCCTTCATCAGCAGTCAGTGACTGGCTGCTTCAGTTGAAGCGTCACAGGAAAGAACGTCTCATGTCTTCAGAGATATTTCCTTGAGTCCTCACATCTTTTCCTTATGTGAGCAAGACTGAGATACAAAGGAAAAGACAAGTGAGGCAAACATGGACACAATTAAGAGAGTTGGGAAACAGCCAAAGTTGGAGGGCACATCCCAAGTCTCTTAGAGGCACCACAGTTTCCCTCACTTGCATCTCAGTCCCATCCATGTAAGACACGAGGAAAAGATGCAAGGGGAAAATGTGAGAAGGAAGGAAACATGTTTGAAGAGATATGACAAGTTGTTTCCTCCGATGCTTTATCTGACATCACGGACAGACTGCAGAAACACGAGCGTGTCGGACCACAGGAGACACAATGCTCTCATGTATCCTTGCTCAGCTGAAACAACTTCTGGGTTGAGGAATGATCAAAAACAGATGTGGATGCAGCCTAAAATGGAGAGAGAAACACTACATCCACACATCTCAGGCCTTGAGGCTCAGATTGACCTTGTTGTGTTGCTGCTTCCCATTTGTGTGTGTACCCGGCTCCAGTGTGAACACCGCTCAGCTCCTACTCTGCCACACATGCATACATGTAACTGAAATGTGAGCCACGTGTGCACAAGAATAACAACATGACTCACATTTCAGTTCAATCTGTGCATGAGCTCAGTGGTGTTCACACATGCCACTTACGCACATCGAAGCACCAACACAAGATCCGCACTGAGCACTAAGGCCTGGGATGTGCATTAATGAGGCAGAGAAATGAAACTCACCTGAGGTCATGACGTCAACTCGAAGCCAACAGGAACAACACGTGATGCAGACATGACGGCACATGGACTATCAAAGGTTTCAGATGAGCGCTCAGCTAGGGAACGAGCCAACGTCAACAGCATGTTGAAGCTAATTCTATTTTCACAACGTTTCTAATCTAATCTGTCTCCAGATTTTTGGCATGGTCTTCTCCATGATGCTCTACTGTCAGATCGGCAGGAAGGAGAACACCGTCACCGTCAGCCATGGCTGAGCCCTGCCCACCAGATCTCCTCAGTGCAACTGCAACTTAAAGGATAACTTTGGGGTTTTTTGAACCCACTGCATTTCCCCTGAAGGTGGGCACAGAGACTCTATAGCTAGCGCTAACTTTACTATCACTACCTCCATCATAGAGGTTCAAACAAACAAACATTTGCAGTATCAGGAGGACAACCGGTTTAGCCTCCGAGCTCAGAATAAACACGTCAGTCAAATCATGTTTCATCCTGATCTCTGAGCCAGAAGGAAAGCAGCAACAAGATGGAGCCATCCACGGGCAGCCAGTACAGCTACTTGCCTAGACTGATCATCAGGTCATCAAGTTAGCAAGTAGCTGTACTGGTTGCCCGCGAACGGCTGCATCTTGTAGCTGCTTTAATTCTGGCTCAGAGATCAGGATGAAATGATTTGACTAACGTGTTTATTCTGAGCCTGGACGCTTCTTGTTGCCCTGGTGACACCCTTAACAAGACTTTTCCTCAAATTTCTACAATGGAGGCAGCAATGGCAGAATTTGCTCTAGCTCTATAGTCACTGCACCCACTTTCAGGGGAAGTAGAACAGATAAAAAAACAAAAAACAAAATTATCCTGTGCTTTTATTGTGAAGGAACACTAATATTTCCATCCTATTAACACACTGCCTGTAAATATGGAGTCTCAATAATGATGAAAAATAGTGCACACTTTAAATTGGTATTTTGGGCAAAGATTGGAAGTAAAGGTTCTAGACAAAAGTGTAATAGTCAGATGAAAAAATAATGTACTTTGATATTTGTTCTGAACGCACCAAAAACCAATGGGTTTCCCAAAATACCAGTGTTCCTTAAATGTGGCACAAACCCTTGGTGGAGATGTTGACATTTTACCCAACATGTCAAAACAAAGCTCTGTAGCACGTACAACATGAAGGCTCGTCTCTGTCCGTTCATTCTACACCTCAAGAACAAAACCATTCAAAGTAAACACTTTAAATATTGTTCTGGGATACTACATATGGAAGGCCATTACTGCCAGAAAAGCATACATCAGTAAATAAGCAGGTATGATTAACAAGAGTATTTCAGGTGTTTTGTGACTATTATTTATCCACAAAGTCAATATTATTTAATTTCTTTCCATTATTACATAATTTGCCTTTGTATTTAAAGTGTTTTTAGGGGATGTGAATGATTTTTTTTTTTAATTTTTTGTAATTGCATACTAAATCAGTCTTGAGATTCCTATGGGAACTAGTATTAGTGTTCTGTCCTTGTTTTTCTATACAAAATATTTTAGGTAGTAATGGGCTTCCAAACAAATACTGCTGTGTCTGTCTGCTACCATCGTTGGCTCATATTACACAATAATCCTCAGGAGGTTGAAATTACATAAGAAACAATAGTATACGTGCCTCGAATCTGACATTATATTAGAAGACACTGTTGTATTGCTAAGTTTAGATTTTATCATAAAGGTGATGTTGTGGAGCAAAACTTGATTTGCTTTTTTCCTTTTGTTGTTGCATTTATAAATGAGATTTGTTTTTTGTTTTTTTTTGTTTTTTTTACTGGCATTAGCTGAAGCATTAAGGATGTTTGGATGTAACTGATTTTACATTGAGAAATCAAGTGTTATAAAATAAGATTCTCCAGTTTTACCTCTGGTGTCTATGCCTAGCAGGGAAATCAACACTGGAATAAATCAAGATTGAGTGAAATAAAACTTGTCCAATGAGTGCATTTATTTAACATTTATTTAATACTAATATATATTGTATATCAATTATATTGTGTATAAATTATGGGACACAGGAATTGTATTTTCTGGCAGGAAGGGGGCTTCGGTAAAAACAACTAAATAAACTGATGAATATCAAAAGAAATTTACCTTGTGCAGACATTTTCTGTGAACCCACTTGACTCCTCCAGGACCTCAGCAGGATCCCCGGACCAGACTTTGAAGATCACTGATCTGCATGCTGCGGTGAAATAAAACAGGACATAATTTGTTTGTTGACACATTGAAGCTGATGTGTGAATCTAATTAAAGATGAAAGGAGGTTCTGGTTCTGTCAAGTTCAGCATGTACTACAGGAAGCAGGCCGTCCACACCCTGGGTTCTGCTGCTATGTACTCCACAAATAAATGATTAGAAATACTTGCAAAAAACAGCCAACTTCTTTCCCTTGTCTTGTGACCTGAAACCTGCAGTAGCAGCGATGACCAGTTGTGCACTAACAGCTGCTTATGTACAGAACTACACCACCTTGTGTAACAGTACGAATACCATCCAGAAGAAATATTACAGTAAAAGTCCTTCACAGAAACTGATTCTTACTGAATAAGCATTATTTTTATCATTGTAGTTTAAAACTGAGCTCCAGCTCAACCATTTTCTATAAAAGGCTTGAAAAATGACCAAACATCTCAACAGTTCTGTCAACAGACTCATTGATTAAACAGCGTTTCCCCTGCACTTCCCAAGTTGTTTCATAAAGCTTTATAGTTTATTTTATAAGCTCTTAAGATTCTAAACTTGTTGGGCAACTAATAATTTTTGTCGAATAAATGCTTTGCAGTAAAACGTTTACCCAACTGAAACGTAGTGTGTATATAAAAGTGGAACAGAAAAGATCCAAGTAAACTACAAGTTTCTCACATTTGTATTAAGTACACGTACTTGTGCGAGGCTACATTTTCAACCTCACATGAAGCTTCTCGTTTTGATACAGTATAGTTATAATCAAATATTCTTAAAAACAAACAAACAAAAAATCAGGTTTCCTCAAATTGTCCTCTTGCACAAAAGGCTGAACCTGGCTTCTCAGCGTGCTGGAATGTCTCAGTCCACCTTAAACGTGACACGCACCTGTAGCTGTGTGGTCACTTTCAAGTTGCCTATCAACTGAAAAATCTATGAACGAATTCTATTTCTTGTAACAGAGTATTTCTGTAATCTTCTTCCACCGCTGCGCGTTACTTTCCAGAATCAGAAGTTAGAACTTGAAATACTATGTCTTTTATTTTGAAATCTGTTGGTGCTCCTCGCTGTTTCCGCTAATGTTCGCTTTATCTAGTGATGGCCATACGAGGCCCCATGAAGCTTTGAACCCTTTTGGACCATTGTATTGAAAATTGGTTCACTTCTCGAAGCTTCATTCATTGAGCACGTGGGTGACACCTGCTGGCACAGTGGTTGATGTACATCCTTGCAAAGGTGACACTGATGCACCTTGCGTGTGCATGTTTTGTTTTAATGATGAGTTTTGTTGTGATGTGGAAATTACCTAAATAAAGCTGAAATCTAACTTCATTTTACGTGTCTGTGTTTCTTCTTTGCCTTATAAAGTATCTGAAATGAAATGT